ACAATCCATTTTTTCCATCAAAAAATTATTTGCATTTTAATAAGTTAATAAAAAAAAGCTAATAATATCTAACATTTCACAATATAATACAATAAAAACAGCTATTTTTGGATTGTAAAAGTATGTAAATGCAGCCTTGGTGAGCAAAAGTCACCAACTTCAGTTCACACGTTTGAATGGCAGTATACTGTACATTATTTAAGTCTGTTTATACAGTGGCTTGTGAGTGGATATACAGTATATACAGCCTGGCATGGATGTTGCTGCCTTCTCTTTCTCTCTCATTTTCTTCCAAACTCTCAGGAACGGTACAGTTGCGTGCTAAGTCGCGCTGGGCTAAGCCATCTGGAGCCAACAGCGCTCCGAGGCCCGGGTTGAGTAACACAAACATGACACAAAAGGAAGACGGCACCCTGCTCCAGGTGAAATGCTCCCGCAAAAACCTCCCAGAAAGGTATCTCCCAAAATCCCACAGTCCACTCGATTAGAGAGGACGGTTTTTAGGGAAAATAAAGCAGAAGAGAATGCTAGAAATTGGGGAGAAATGAAAACAAGATTCTCTCAAGGTCCCGGACAATCTCTTTCCCAGACAGACTGTTCTTCAGGAGGTTTTTTGTTTGTGAGACAATCTGATACCAGCGAGAGTCTTATGAGACCATCTGGCACTGATACAGCAGGGGAAATAAGTATTGAACACGTCACAATTTTTCTCAGAAAGCATATTTCTAAAGGTGCCGTTAACTTGAAATCTTCACCAAATGTTTGTAACAATCAAAGAAATCAATATATGCAATGAAAACTAAACTAATTAGTTTACAAATTAAGTTATGTGTAACAACACAGAGAAAAAGTGTTGAACACATGACGAAAGGGAGGTGCTGAAAGGCAGCGAAAGCCCAGACAGGAGTCTTCAGGAAACTTCTGGCCTTCATCATTGAAAATTAATATTCGCTGCTTCAGTTCAACATCTGCATTAGCAGGAGGATGAAGATGAAACCAGAGTGGACATTTCAGAAAGACAATGATCCAAAACACAGCCAAGGAAACTCTCAAATGCTTTCAGAGAAAGAAAATCAAGCTGTAGAATGGCCCAGCCAATCACCTGACTTGAATCCAACTTCATTCTCCATACGAGAGGCATCTTCATAGCCGTCAACTCTCCCATTTTTCTAGGGATTCTCCCGTATTTTACACTTCTATCCCGCTGTCATCCCGTAAAGGTATTTTCCCGAACTTCTCCCATATTTTCAGTCTTTCTTTGAATGGTGGCAAATAAACATTTTAGAGCCCTCCCTATACGCGGCCCATACCGCCGAACCACAAGGGGCCGCCCCTTGCTCTTAAATGTGAGTCTGTTCTGTGCTTTCACTTTTAGGCATTTTAGGCATAAAAAACCCTTTGAAATAAATATTAAAACCGCGGGATTATCTTTTCTTCTCATTACAGGTGCCGTCTCCCCTTCATATGCAATCCTCAAAACAGTCATATAGCAGTGCGTGACTGTCAGCTGATGCGCTCCAAAAGAAACATATAATATATAAAAATATAACATTAAGTTGAAATTTTGTAGGTTGTATTTAACCTCAATTCAATTTAAATGTATTCTCTTTCTTTTTAAAGATGTTAGGTGACCAAACTCTGATTTTACTAGGAAAAAGGGATGGGGTGGGGTGGTCATTATAGGTAACACTTTATTTTGATGGTCTTTAGCATTTGTAGACTGTCTACTTAATATCTGTTGATTCAGCTCCTTTAACAGACATTTAACTGACTATAAGAAACAAGTACATGTCAGCTTACCCTAACCCTACCCCAACCTAACAGTCAACTTATAATCTAATGAGAATTAGTAGGCAATGTAACTTAAATTCAACAAACGGACCATCAAAATAAAGTGTAACAGATATTATATTTTAACAACTTAAAGTTAGTAAGATTTTCGATTCTAACCAAGGCTGCATTTATTTACATACTTTTACAGTTTAAAATATCAGTTTTATTGTGTAATGTTAGATATTATTAGCTTTTTCTTATTAACGTATTAAAATGTAAATCATTTTTTGGATTAATAGAAAAAATATATGATATGCTAGTGAAAAAGTTAAACATTATAAATGGTTAGCAAAGTTGGGAAGATCTTTTTAATGCTCACCAAGGCTGCATTTATTTACATATTTTTTAAATTCAAAACAACAGATAAATAAATAAATAAATATATATATATATATATATATATATATATATATATATATATATATATATATATATATATATATATATATATATATATATATATATTCTAAAATGTAATTCGTTATTAACTTTTTAAAATGTAATTCAGTTTTTGATTAGAAACAAGGATTTATGTGGGGGGAAAATAACATTATAAATGGCACCTAATGGGTCCTGTGTATAATTTATAATATACACAGCTATAGAAAAAACTAAGGCCACTAGGTTCTTTCTTTCTTTCTTTCTTTCTTTCTTTCTTTCTTTCTTTCTTTTGTTCTTTCTTACTTTATTACACCTCTGGATTGTGTTTGAGTAAAACATTTTTTTTGTATAATACGAAGTAAAATAAAGCTGCTTTTTTTAGCCAAAAAATATCAAATGTATTATGATAAAAACATATTATAAAATATAGTATAATAATATAAAAATATAATATGAGGTAAAATAACAAAGCTGCCATTTTTAGCCTTGATAAGCCTACAGTATAATCCCTTTTAAACGACACAATACCATTGTTTTATCTCCTAAAGAGTTAACAAATCAATATTTAGAATCACCTGAATTCTCAATTGAAAATTTCAAAATTTTTCAATTGTCATTTCCTAAAAAAATAAAAATAAAAAAAACTAAATAAAATGCTGTAAAATGACAATGTTTATTTACAATTTGTACGAAATGCTTTCAGACTTTCCTAGAATAAAATTTATATTTAGATTTTACTCAAAGCCTTACTTAATAGATCCATAGAAACTGAAAGTGTTTAAAATGGTGTCTTAATTTTTTTTTTTCACATAGCTGTATAAATGTAGACTAAAAAGGAAACTGCAACTAAAAAACTTCCACTCAGCATCTTTTTGAGGGTTTATTAATAATCAGCGATGGCTGTTGATGTTTCCTGTCTCTTTGTGGTAAATATGAGGTAAATATCAGACCTGTTCAAGCTACTGACAGCAAGTAAACACACGTGGTGTGGTGTCAAGGGCCACAATCTCATGGTGTTTACAAAAAATATTTGATATTTACATATTTGTCAGCTGTGCGTCACAGGCTATTCATGTCTACAAATTAAAAGCTGTTTGTCTGAGATAAATCCAGGCTCTTTTGAAAACTGATGCATTTCATTGCTTCATATTTCACCCACGTGTTTCTATTTATTATTAGTAGTGGTAGTACTACCACCGCCTCTATTTAGAGACATTTAATGTTCTTTAGCAATACCTAGGAGTTTGTTTTGAACTTAAAAACTATTGATGATGTTGTTGGCTTTGCTTATAAAACTTAGCCTGCAACAAATTATTATGTTTGGTTTGATACTTAAGGATAAAAAGATATCTTATATAATAAATTACTTGTTGATATTATTAAAATTTCCTTCGGCTTAGTCCCTTATTTATCAGGGGTCGCCACAGCGATAAACAGCCAACTATTCCGGAATATATTTGTACACAGTGGATGCCCTTCCAGCCGCAACCCAGTACTGGGAAACACCCATACACTCTTACATTCACACACACTCATACACTACGGCCATGCAAAACATGCAAACTCCACACAGAAATGCCAACTGGCCCAGCTGGGACTGTGAGGTGACAGTGTAACCACTGATCCACTGTGCTGCCCTAAAATTTTATATTCATAAATGTAAATGTTTCACAATTTACCCAAGATTTATGGTGTTTAAAGAAGATTTTGTGATAATTTTGTGTAATTTTAAAAAGTATTTACAGTGCTCAGCATGTATGAGTACACCCCTCACAAATCTCTCTTTTAAATTCATATTTGTAATGGGAAGCTATATGCAATATTATATTTGTGCATATACATTAGATTAGTCGATGAGCTAATCTAACAAAATAACTTACGATAATGGTCCAAAAACTAAATAAAAAAATCAAGAAAAGCAAAACATTTTGTAGGTTGTAATTTATTTTTGCTATATTTTGCTTGAATTTAATTGTATTTTTTCTTTTTGGGTGGTCTAACCATTTAGACTAAAATATTTTTGCTGCTTGTTCAAACTCTTCAAATTCTTGATTTTTAATTGGGACAACTTAATTGTTTTATGTTCAATTCATTTAAATTCATTCATTCATTTTCCTTCACCTTAACCCTTTTATTCATCAGGGGTCGCCACAGCAGAATGAACCAGCAAATTATCCAGCACATGTTTTGCGCAGCGCACGCCCTTCCAGCTGCAACCCAGTACTGAAAAACACCTATTCACACACATTCACTTTGGCCAGTTTAGGTTATTCAATTCAACTATGGCTCTGTAAAGTCTAGATCCGATACGCGGACGGCCGGAAGTGGGATATGCACATTAATATAGCAACATTTTTTATGACACGGTATAACAATAATTAATATTTTTACAGTACTGTGATGGTTGGGTTGGGGATCAGTAGGGAAACTCCACACAGAATCCCAACTGAAAAAACAGCTTAAACCAGCCTGAGAAGGGTGGGCTGGTTTTAGCTGATCGACCAGCCTGATTTTAGAGGGGTTTTGGCCACCTCCAGGCTGGTTTCCAGCTATTTCCAGCCTGATCTGAGCTGGTCAGGCTGGAAAATTACCAGCTAAAACCAGCTTGACCAGCCTGGTTTAAGCTGGACATAACGTTAGCTAGTTTTGGCCTGGCTAGGCTGGTCAAGCCGGAACTCGAACCAGCAACCTTCTTGCTGTGAGGTGACAATGCTAACTACTAAGACACAGTGTCACCTCCACTTAAATGTGTAAATACTATTAAATGAACACAATCGATTTGTGTTGGGACAACATTGTGTGACAAAATTGTGGGGAATGTACATTGCTTAAAAAATAGCAATTTTAACAATTTTTTTGTTTATTTAAATGTTATTCATGCTGTGACTTAATTTCTGTCATGTATGCAAATGTTACTTTAATTAAACAATATTTTGTTTAGAAACTTACATTGATACGGTTGCGCTTTAGACGCCATCTTGTGGTCCGATGCGAAATGTATTATCAACGCGAACTCAGTGCATTATGGGTACTTTCTGTCCTGTGCACTTCATAACATCCACTATTATTTCAGACACCCAAAGAAATGGCTGTCCTCTCAAATAGTATACTTTTTAGTTGGTATGTGATGCGATTTCGGATACAGCCATAGAGAAAGGACCTCATCCATCGATCACAGAAGGCGACATGTTTTCAGAAACAGATGTGTCATTCTTGCACAACTGTCTTCCTGTGATAAACAGCTCTTGTTTCCTCAATACCTCGGTGACTCATTGGTATGTCTAACTCTTGCAGACACAGCACATGTACTGAAAAGTCATGCTTTTGGTTATAAAGTTTGCCTGAGTTACAGCAGTTTGTTTATCTGCCAGTGTGTCTTTAACTCTAGAGGGCAGTGTTTTCTCATTTATTAACCATTTCCTAGATTTGCCATTAATCAAACACCATTCAACCATATGGATCTAATTGAATGACGATGAAAAAAAAATCACACTCGTATGTCGTTAGGGATGCCATTTGTTTCCTGGGATGTTAATATTTATTTAAACATGTTTCTGTCTTTTCTAGAAGACTGGATTTGGACCAGATGTGTGAACCACAAAGATACTACAGACTTTCAGAGAGATTAAAAAAGGTACATCAAGCATCTGAATTTAATCAATATAGATCAGGAGTGCACAAACTTATTTGTAAAAAGCCCCAAAAGCCAAATATCATTGAGCACTGAGGGTCAAAGGTAAATATACCATGCCATATTACTTTAAAGTTACCATGGGAAACTTACTAATTTATTTCATAAGATTTAAAAGTAAAGAGAAAACATTACTTTAAATCATATGAACTAATGCAGGGTAACATTTAAAATGATAACTTACTGCAATAAAAACATTAACAATCACATGTAGGGCTGTGCGATTTGGGGAAAATATCTAATAGCTACTTTTTTGACAGATATTGCGATTTGAGTTGATTTGTGATTTAATTTTGTCAAACTTTGGCTCAATAATCTGTATCCTAGCTTCTTACTACTAAAATGCAGTGAGTGTTAGTTAAAGAAGGAACTGAAAAGATATTAACTTACTTAAACATATGTTCAATTGTTTTTTAAATATTCAGAATTTAATCACTTATTTACTTATTACTTATTAAATATTATTGAATACTTATTAACTATTAAATATTAAATAAGTGTTTAATTTAAAGTGACCTTAACTTTCTGTAAACAAGTTGAACTCAAAGTAGAGCGATAGTGTAGCTTTATTATAAAAACACACAAACACACACACACACACACACACATATATATATATATATATATATATATATATATAAAATAGAGAACACTCAGCAAACTAACATGGCTAAAACAACTCTGAAATTTGCTGTTGCTTGCTATTAAATCGACTGTCACTGGCAATACTTTCAGTTGACTTTTTAGCAAGACACTCCTCATATAGCCGCCTTTGGTGCTTTCTTAGATACTGGTTGTTGTATTTCATCTTAGTTTGGCAACAATTCTTACAAATGACCTGTTTTTGTTTGATATCTGTGACTTTGGGACCAAAATATTTGCATATTACCGATGTCCTGTTTTTCTTTAATATTAATTCATCTATTAATGCTACTGAAGTGGCAGACACCATCATCCTACTTGTCCGTGCTTTCATGTTTGTTTGTTTGTTTTTTATTGTGGGCATTCCACATCTTTCGGTTGCGCAATTCTGATTGGGCAGAGAGAAAGTGTGCTGACTCAATTGGCTAGTGAGACGGTCATGCATTTGCTCTGGGCAGGGGAAATGAAATAATTAGTGGTGGGCCGTTATTGGCGTTAATGTTCTGCCTTAACGAGAGACTTTTATCCCGCGATAAAAAAATATCGGTGTTAATCTATTCTCAAAGTTGGGTTGGGAGCTGGGTCTATTCTACGCAAGCTATGATGACTTTCACCTTGATATTTTAGCGCTGATGTATACCTGACTGGTGAGCTGTCTGACAAAAAAGTGCCCTTCTGAATCAAATCAGGGGATTCCCTTCTGGATCTTTCACTTACTTTGATGACACTAGTAAATACGCTTACATGGACATCTGTAATCTAGTTATTTGTCTTAATAGACAATAATATAATTAAGGTGTTTAAGTAAAGTGCTTTCATGTAACAGTTTCCTGTCATTTTGGGTGACTTTAACTGCAGTTTTGCAGTTCCACTTTCACTCATGAACATTTCATTCATGCCCCCTGTGACAAACTGCGGTATTAGATGCAAATAAGGCGTAAGGACTGGTGGAAGAGTGTTGTGGAATTTAATAATGCACGCCAAATGGAAAGAAAAAAACTTCCGCATTTCGCGGTGTGTGTGTGTGTGTGTGTGTGTGTGCGGTCCTTTACTGTGTGTGGATCTTGTGGGAAAATATGCCGAAAGTCCTACATGACGGTTTAAGTTTAATCCCGGTGTTTACTTCAATAATGCCACTAATTTCTGCATACTCCACACGTCTTAATTTCATTTCTGTTTAGTTCAGTTATGACTTTATTCGGATTAAGGTGATCAAAAATTACTGTTTGGAGCTTATGTAGGCCAAAAACAGTTCTAAATTCATGTTTAACTGAATAAACAGTTAGTAAACACAAGTACATCTTATTGAACATCATTTATTTTCATCACCAATTATCATAGTAGAACAGTTTCTCAAGCAGTTTGTGATGCATTTTGGAAACAGGAGATGAGCCCCTGGTCTAATGCGCCACCTGGCTTGAGAAACCTGTTCTCAAAGACTTACTTTTAGTAATTATTTGGGTAGCTACATATTCTGAATGCCTTCGGCAGAATTCAAATGAGCCATTTTAATCTAGAATAATCTAGATTATTTGCAAGATCACAGTGAGATTATTCTAGATAAAAAAAATGATCTATGCCCACCTATAGAAATTATATATATATATATATATATATATATATATATATATATATATATATATATATATATATATATATACATTTAATATCGAAGCCTCTTGCGATTAGCCAATCGCAACGTCTCAAATCAATGTTGCGAATCGATTTTGATTAATCGCACAGCCCTAAACACATGTATAACACAGTGGAGTTTGATGATTAATACACTAGTCAAGTAGAATCTGCCTTTACCTTGATTTGTTCTCTATGCGTTGAGTGCAGTATGTACATTTAAACTAAATCTGATTCATTTACACTGTTTAATTAAAACATATAATTCAAGGGCGTATAATTGGCATGGACGGAGGGGACATATCCCCACCAAGATCCACTAATTATTGAAATGTCCCTACAAATAATTTAATCAACTTCAAAATGAAGTAATGCTCCATAAATTCTTAACCTAAACTCTCAGAAATAAAGATACCCGAGCTGTCACTGGGGTGGTACCTTTTTAAAAGGTACTCATTTGTACTTTAAGGGTCTATATTGGTACCTCAAAAGTATATATTAGTACCTACAAATTTTAAGAGGATCACTTTTGTACTTTTTAGGTACTAATAAGGTATTACCTTGAGGTATTAACATGGAACTTTTAGGTACAAATTTGTACCTTTTGAAAAGGTACCACCTCGTGACAGCTTGCATGCCTTTAGCACCAAGTCAAGTTTAGAGTAATTAGAGTAACTATTAACTAAGGCTGTGCAATTAATCAAAATTCAGTTATGATATTGGCCTCCATAATTATAAAAACAATAATAGGGCTAAAATAATTAAATTGCATTACAAATTAAATTGACCTGTGCAGCATGGGACAGGATGTTATTTGTATTATTAAATGTTTATTCTATATCATTATGTACTTTATTCATGTTTTTAAAAGCGTGAAACAGAGTTTGTGCTGTTCAATGCATGCACTCTAGGGATGTATGTCCCCAACAATGTTAAGAGCGTATCTACGCCCTTGATTTAGTTTGAGTTAGCTTTTAACAGTAAAGGAAACGTACAAAAGGTCACTTTAGATTTGAAATGACAATCTCTAAACTAGATGCCCAAACTAGGGCCCACGGGGCAAAGTTGGCCCATGGTTAGGCATGGGACAATAACCGTTTTCAAGGTATATCGTTGTTTGGAAAAGTCAAGGTTTCAAAACTGCCAAAATTTTCAGCTATACCGTTCCCATGGTAGATTTTTTTATTTTATTTATTTTATTCATTTTTTTTGTTTTAGTTTTTTAAGACAGCAGTATCTCCAGCAGAGTAGAGCTCCAAAGATTCTTTTTTAAATTGTAAAGAAATCTGTGTTTTTGAAACAAATGAAGACAGCAGAAGTCATTCATTCATTCATGTGTCGGCTTAGTCCCTTTATTAATCCGGGGTCGCCACAACAGAATGAACCATCAACTTATCCAGCACATTTTTACACAGCAGATGCCCTTCCAGCCGCAACCCATCTCTGGGAAACATCCACATACTCATTCACAAATATACACTCATACACTACGCACAATTTAGCCTACCCAATTCACCTGTACCGCATGTCTTTGGACTGTGGGAGAAACCGGAGCACCCAGAGGAAACCCACACGAACGCAGGGAGAACATGCAAACTCCACACAGAAACGCCAGCTCAGCCGAGGCTTGAACCAGCGACCCACTGACCTTTTTGCTGTGAGGCGACAGCACTACCTACTGCGCCACTGCATTGCAGAAGTCAATAATTCCTTTTTTATTTATTGAGAATGACATCTCTACTGTTCCAAAATATTTCAAAAGTTTCCCAAAATAAAATGTATTGTCTTCAAAGGGGAATAAAGTTTTGTTTTTTACACAGACATTAAAAAAGAATATATATTAGAGCAGTATTCATAATACCGTAAAACCGAAGGTTGTCATACTGGCAGAATCTTATACCAGCCCATGCCTACCCATGGTAACCTTTGATTTGGCCCCCTTGACATCTGAGAATGGTTTAGAGATTGTCATTTCAAATGTAATGTAATCTTATATTCGTTTGTTTTATTGTTAAACTACAAAACAGCTATCTGAAATGAAATATTTCAATGTAAATGGTGTAAATTAATCAGACTTAGTTTAAAATGTACATACGACAGATCGAGGGCACTGTAGAGACTGGCAAAGGCTAATTTGCCATGGTGTTCACATACTCAGGTCACCAAACTCACCAGTTTACTGGGTGTAACCACAATTACAGGGACACTGGAGTGTTTCAAATTCATGTCAATCAGCTTGTTTGTCTATAAGCTGACATACGAGCGATCCACTGATGAATCATAGCTTTAAAACACTCCAGTGTCCCTATATCTGAGTTTACCCCAATTTATTAAGAGGTTCCAAAGTTTTTTTCTTTCTGTTGAACTCAAATAAAGGTATTTTAAGGAAAGTAGGAATTCATTCACTTCCATGAAAGTAAGGAAAACACATTAAAGTAACCACTTTCCAACATACTTCAAAATATCTTATTTTGTATTCAACAGAAAAGAAGTAGAAGTAAAAACAACTCATAAAAGTTTGGAACAAGTGAAGAGTGAATAGATATGATAGAATTGGCATTTTTTTAGGTGTACAGTGGGGTTATGATAAATTAGTCAGGACCACATTTGTTTTTAGTTTATTGTAACTTATTAAACTAAGTTAATCATGTTCTAACTTTATCTTATAA